AGCTTTTCCACCATGTAAGCCAGTAACATGTAGTTCTCAGTTGCGTACTTGTAACTCGTCCCTGGCTTAAACGCCAATGGTTTGTCAATAAACGTCCCAATCTGTAGTCCAAATGCCCCCATGGTCGATAACATGTCTCCTTCATGACTACTAATTCCCGATCCCATGTAGAGCAAGTGCTCGAACGTAACGACTTGACACTCATCCTCCAGCTCAAGTGTCGGACACCACGTCGTTCGATTCGTTTCAAGGCCAAAATTCTGCCAATCCTGTTCTGTCCAATGCTCACTCACTGATCTCTGTAGCTCTACAAGACCTCTTTCCTGTAATTGATGCATTGCCACTGCCATAAGCAGCTGTATATGCGCTCCCATGGGGAAGACGCTATGTTCCTCCATTGGTTGCTTGAATGGCACATTAGCAAATCCCATGGCCTGCTGGAGCTTCTTTTGCCCATTGTGACTAAGACGCACGACGCCAGAAAAGTTTCTCGTGTGCTGATACTCGTCTAGCAGTGAGTGTAGTTCCAGTGCGTGCTGATTGTGCTGTGCCGGCCATGAAAGCACCACGAGCAGTAGCGTGAGCAGTAAGGCTGCTAGAAAGCCCACAGTGGCACGTCCGACGGTCCTCGAACGGTAACGACGTTGCTGACGCTTTCGTTGTCGTTCATGGTAGCTCGACAATTGCTGTTGAAGCGAAACACTGGCATTGCGATCGAGCAAGGGGAGCTCCTCGCTGTCTTGAGGCATTCTGTTTTTATTGTTTAGTGGATGGATGATATCTGAGCGTGTTTTAAGTGTACGCGATGTGTGTATACTACATATTTGTAAGTGGACGAGTGGAGGTCGGTGGTATTCCACGAGATAGAACGCGATGCAATTGTGTCAATGCTTGGATGAGGTGAGGATCGAGTATGCAGAGAGTGAGGCAGTGGCATTGATACAAAGAGGTAAGGAAAAGACTACAAAAGATGTAAGGGACAAGGTAGAAATCTCGTATGCGCAAATGTATCGATGGCAACAGAAATTGCGAGACATCTTGTGCCAAGAGAGTGGAGAGAATGAATGGCTCATAGCGATCAATTTGATGCCATTTTCAATTGAAGAGACAGCAATGATGTTGTTGGTGGCTGAACAACGACATTGGACGTATGTGGCTGTGGATATGCAGCTCTCAATTGCTAGACAACTTTATCTGCTACAACGTGCTGGAGTACGACATCTTGTGACGACTGTGAATAGTGGATTGGTCAAAGCTCTTGTAGGGGATGAGGACCGTAAAGTGGAAAAGTACATCAAGTCATGGACAATTGATTCAAAAACGAGTCCGTTTGTGGCTGTACAAGTGGTGGCATTCCCGAGCAATTACTTTGAGGCAGAAGTTAGTTTAACTTGGCAAAGACTGAGAGACTGTCAAGAGTTTGTAGCGCCGCTGTATGTGCTTTTCACATCTGGGACAACAGATAAGGCTAAAAGAGTACTTGGGACACGCAAAGGTGCCTGGACAAGATTGACATGGATGTGGAAGACATATCCATTTTCTAGCTACGACGTAGGTAAAAGAACGAGTGAACGAGTGCTGCGAGCAACAAAACTTTCGTTTGTAGACTCGGTCTGGGAAATCATTGGTGCTTTCTTGCAACGTGTGCCGCTTGTTCACATGCAATCTCCACGGCATCAAGTAGGCAGCAATATCCACTCTTGCACGACAAGTGTTGTGCTTGACAATAGCCAGCGCTTTCTGGAAATAATCTGCAGCGAGACTGTGACCCGTTTCACTGCAGTGCCGAGTGTGCTGGAAGTTTTGCTGCTTCAAACGACAGAAATCCATCGGCGGTCTTACTTGGCTGGACTTCGCTATGTGCTAAGTAGTGGCGAGTCACTGTCACTTCATGTTCTGCAGCAACTCACGGCTAGTTTACCAGAGGTGACGGTTCTAAATCTTTACGGTAAGGACAATTCCGCTAACTCTATCTACAGCTCGAGCTTATTAATTGTTGTGTTCATAGGTAGCACGGAGGTGAGTGGTGATATCACGTGTATGGAACTGAAGGCACCTTTCTCTACTGTTCAGATGGCAGATTGGCAAGAATATGGTGTCCCCATCGCTTCTCTCGATCAATTTGGGGTCATTGGTGGAAGCAAAACGTCCCTCGTTTTAGTACCAGAAGGTCTTGATGAGAGTGCTCTTTGTTCAAGCAATGAGTCAACAACAGTAATCTGGCCGAAGAAGAGTATTAGAGAGGTTAACGTATTTACAGAGATTGATGAAAAGAGAACGATGGGTGTCCTCTATGTTTCAGGGCCACTTCTGACGTGTGGATACTTGGGCGACAACCTTGATAACGTTTTTGCTGGCTCGTATTCATTGTCAGATCATCAGAACGAAAGCAATCGTAAACGAATTGTGCAACCAAGTCGATGGTTTTGCACAGGCGATACTTGCTCAGCAGCTCGTGGACGTCTATATTTTTGTGGACGCATTGACAATGCTGTAAAAATTCACGGACAGCGAGTCTACATGGAGGCAGTGGAGCGTGCAGTAGCATGTGCTCTAAAAGAAACGACAAGAGACCTACAGTTTAATGATCGAGGCCAGGTTTGCGCGTTTACATTTGCCAAAGCAGTGACCAAACCAGCGCTTTTAAAAACATGTATCGTGGCTTGTATCGTTTGTGACGATATGAGCAACCCTGCAATCGCTCGATATTCTCCGACAAAAGCGTTTAATGCTTGGATGGGAGAAAACTACGGGACGTCACACATTCCTCACGAAATGCTCATGTTGTCAACAAAAGCAGTGCCACGACTTGCTCATGGCAAAATTGATCGGCGAGCGCTAGAGACATTTGTCAAACATTTCATCAGTGACTGCAATGTCGTACTGCCAAGACCGCGCATTGATAGTAAACCGGCAAGCACCCCAAACAACTTGGTTGCAAGACTTCTGAACGAGATTTTAGATATTTCTCCGTCTAATGACGTTTTCGACGACAATCTCCACCGAACATTCAGAGACTTAGGCGGAAATTCGCTGCTTGCAACTCTGTTTGTGCACGAGCTTCGCATAGAGCTCGATGAACTCTCCTTCACTTCCCGGGACCTGGTATGTCTGTTTGTTGATTCTTTGCAGTCTACGGCAATGCTTGCTACTAACCACGACAGTTGTGTCGTTTAATGTTTAGCTTGAAATGACGGTTGAGGACATTATGTCTAGATGCGCTGTAAGCTTTCTAGCTCAAGAGCATTCACGAAAAATGAAGAAAGGGAAGAGCTTGATGAAATCTGTGAAGCCTTCAAGCATCTTCAATACAGTCACTACAGGTGCCTCAGGCATTGCAGATGATCTCAAAAGACAGAAGAAAACACACCATGCGACTTCAGAAGACAATGTTGGCAGCTACCACCGTAGCAGTAGTCAACAAAGCAGATTGATGTTTGTATCTCGCTGCAATCACTCATCGGCTAGTGTCAACGGTCTATATCTTCCCACATGCTACACATCTCTATTATCATCGGCAAAAGAGACTGTTCTAGCATCGTCATCGTGCTTGTCGTGGGAATTGCGAAGTTTGTGGCAAGTCAATCTGGACAAGTGCATCGATGCATCTCCTACTGTAGTACAGCATCGCGATCACAAAGGCTCTGTCTGCTCTACGTGGGCAATTATCGGCTCGCACTCAGCCCAGCTAGTTTGTGTTGATGTGATGAAAGCGGGGCAAGAAATTTGGCGAGTTACACTTGATGACCGTATCGAAGCGTGCGCAGCTATTAGTGTAAAGCACGAAGTTGTGTACGTGGGAACGTATGCCGGAACTCTTTTCGCTCTGAGCCTGCAGTCTGGATTAATCCGTTGGAAGTTCCACGCAAAAGGAATCATCAAAGCTACAGCATTGGTTATGGATGATCAACGACTAGTCGTCGGTGGTGCATATGACAACATGTTGTACGGTCTAGATACTTTGACGGGTACACAGCGGTGGGTAATCGACCTGCACGGTAGCATTTTTGCAACACCTCTCTGCTGTGCTTGGTCGGGACAACTGTTCTCCGCTACAACGAACGGAATTATCGTGGCTTTGCTTTCATCTTCCAACTTTGCCTGCGTCGAGGAACAATGGAAGCTGAAGCTTTCAGCTCCCGTATTTGCAGGATTGAATGCCGATCACACTTCCAAGATGCTGATTGTAGGGTGCGCGGACGGACAGCTTTACGGAGCTTCGATGGATACCGGCAGCATCCAGTGGAAAGTCTCGACCGAAAAACCAATTTTTAGTTCGCCATGCATCTACCAACCCGGATCAATCGTGTTTGGATCTCATGACGGTATGCTACGAAAGGCAGATTGTCACAGTGGAAAACTCGCATGGACTACCAACCTCTATAGTGCAATATTTGCGTCACCGACTGTCGTTCGACTTCGACTTCCAACGAGAAGAATAAAGCTGAGCGAACGCAATGACGATGATCGCCTAATTTGTTGCGTGACGACTACGGCTGGCGGTATGTACTTCTGTGACGAAAGCACAGGGTCCATTGTGTACCAAACGTGCGAGTCAACCGGTAAAGCCATGAGCAAAGTTACCAGTGAGCAATGCAAAGCTGACCTAGGTCCACTCTTCAGCTCGCCGGTGATGATTGACAATTATTGCTTACTCGGAACACGAACTAACCACTTCTATGGCTTTGAGCTGGTTTGCAATAACTCAGCTGCAACCGCGGCATCTCTAGATGATGGATAGCATCTGAAACAGCGACGGCAGCTGCACCAGTACCCTCTACACATTAATTTGCCACGCTCGCGCCAGCTCTTCATCTTTGACGTATAGTGTCTACATCTTTGACCTCCTCTGGATGCTTAAACTTAACGCGACACTTGCGCCGAAATATTGGACAATCGCTAATGAACAGTTTCCAGTGCAGTTGAACGACATCCATGGGAAGATTCTTACTACTAGTGGGCCAAAAAGTGAACACGCGTCCTACGCAACATCTTTGCGTTAGTTACTGTTGTGTTTTGTAATATTGCTGTAGACAACAATGTGACATTAGTGATGGATGGTTCAAGTTGAAGCAAACATGGATACTATTATATCCCCTCTCATATCCGATCGCTAATCTTATGATACTTTGTATCATACATAGTATCATAAGATCTTCAGGGTCTCAACTTTGTAAAGAAGGAGCTTTAGACTCCTCCCCTCCACCCCTATTGATTCCTTGCAAGACGCACTACTTCCTTCTCAAAATTCATGACGTTGTTGCGTGATTTCTTAGCATTGTGTGTCTTATTCTGGATCTCTCTATCGTTTGATGTCACTGAATCTTCTGTCGTTCGCGTGCACAATCTCCAGCGTCTGCAGGACTTTCGTGGCCATGAATACTTTGTACATTTTGACGTGCATCAGTCCGAAGATGAACCAGTGGAGTTCCCAGTTCAAGAAGATTTCTTCACTAGCGCAATCTTGGACCACTTTGTCCCCGTGTCCAAGCGCACGATGTGGAAACAGAGATACCAGATAAACGAAGAGTTCTGGGGTGGTCATGGTTTTCCTGTGTTTCTTTACATTGGAGGAGAAGGACCTTTAGGTCCCAAGGCACTTACTAATCGTACCTTCATTTACTACTTGGCAGAGCAGCACCGAGCGCTGCTTGTTGCATTGGAGCATCGATTCTATGGCAAGTCGTACCCAACCACTGACATGAGTTTGCGTAACCTATTTTATCTCTCGAGTGAACAGGCATTAGCCGACTTGGCCCATTTTCATTCTTTTGTGACGGAAAAGTATGGACTCACCGATGAAAAGTGGGTGGCATTTGGAGGAAGCTACCCAGGTAATCTAGCAGCGTGGGTCAAGTTGAAATACCCGGCGCTCTTTGCAGCAACAGTAGCAAGTTCAGCACCTCTACATGTCAAAACAAACTTTTACGAGTACATGGAGGTTGTTGGGGATGGATTGAGATATTTTGGAGGCGGTGAGTGCTACCACGAAGTGGAACAGGCAATAGTGCAGCTTGGACAGCTCATGGATGGTGGGAAAGAAAGTCGTGATTACGTGGACGAACTGTTCAAGCCATGTGATCCAATGGCCAACGAGTTTGATGACTCGGTTTTTGAGGCTTCTATAATGGGTGCATTTCAGGATATTGCACAGTACAATGGCATTCACGAGGGACTTATGACTCTGGAGGAAGTCTGCAAGCACTTTGTTGAACCAGGAAATGCTTTAAAAAAACTGGCTTCGTTCATAAACAAGACTCGCGTCGGTGATTGTCTGGACTCGAAATTTGAAGGTGCAGTAAACGGGACCGTCGAGGTTCTAAGTCGTGACCAATTTGACGGGAAGAGCAGTGCTCGTCAGTGGGTGTACCAAACATGCAACGAATTTGGGTATTTCCAGACCACGACAAGTGCACGGTCTCCTTTCCACTCACTTCATGCTGTAACAGAGGCCAATGTCGGCACGGAAATATGCAAGCGTGTGTACAAGATGAATGTTTCACCAGATGTCGCTGGTGCTAACCTTGATTACGGTTCACTTGGGATCGAGGTAGAAGGTGTAACATTTCCAAGTGGAACTATTGATCCATGGCATGCATTGGCTGTGGAGAATGCAACGAAATTACACTCGCATTCATCTCAAGCTGTGTACATTGAAGGCACTGCGCATTGCGGTGATATGTATTATCCAAGTGAAACGGACACAGCACCATTGCAATGGGCACATGCAAAAATTGCTGCACAAGTCTTCTCGTACGTGCAAGAGGTTGACTATTCCCACGACAAAACTCAAGTAATGCCACTGATTCCTGCAGTAGTAAAGGCCATCGAGTAAGAATACTAGGGCCTATGTCATTGTTAGTCTCATTATCACTATCATGTTGACGTGAACTTCAACTTGAAGTCAAGTTGTTTTGCCAATCATGGTGTGGTACACTCTAACTTTCAATGTCAATACATGTTACACACATCTTTCTACAACCCATTGGCTTGTGGCACTAACGTTCTCTATGGTTCACAGCTTCTCTTGTCATTTCTTGTCTCATTCGTGTTTTGTAATGGCTTCGTACGAGACCCCTCGCGTTGACGTGAACATTAATGGATGGGGCCCTACAACACTACCAGAACAGTTTCTAAATATTCCTTATGCACCATTTAATATGGGTGACAAGCTTGGCAAAGCCGCTGATTTTGTGTCGAACTATGCACCACGTGGCAGTCGCTACGCGCGGGATCCATCGGGTGTAAACACTGAATTTCAATACAAACATGATTCAAAGGAGGATGCAACGTTTCAGCTTGTTGATACATCAAAGGGCACGCGTCCTAAGACAGAGGATCGGCTGCGACCTACGTGGAATCAACAACGCTTTGGTGGTCGTGGTGGACGTGGTGTCGGTGGCCGAGGGGGTCGTGGTAACTACAATGACAAACCTGATCCAAATGCAGCGACTACATCGTCTGCACAGCTTCGTATGAAGGGTATGCAAAAGCAGAACAAGCGCTGGGACCGACTAAGTAATGCACGACGCCAGTTTACGTTCCGTCGTCGAGACGAGCCGCAGGTGGACCGTGCAGCGTCCGTCATGGTGCAGGCCAGCTGGACCCTTATTGACCAGTTTGAAATGCAACAACTTACAAAGTTACAAGCCAATATCCCTAAATGTGAAGACCTGAAATGGTGCGGAGAGCTGCGAGAGTATGACACTACCTTTGATCGCCTTACCAGTCGCTCTAACACACGCGTGCACCGCTACGATGATCGTGACTTTTACTATGTCACGACAACGGATGATCCTATTATTGAAGAGTTTGCACAACAGGGAGAAGCCACAGTGTTTGCCACTGATGCGATCTTGTCGCATCTTATGACGGCCACACGCTCTGTTTTCCCGTGGGATATCGTGGCTCAGCGCGTGAACAATATGGTATTCTTTGACAAACGTGACGAATCGAGCTTTGATCTGCTCTCAGTCAACGAGAACGCATCGGATCCACCAAGCCAAGAAGATCCCGAGCACATGAATCACCCGGACCGTCTCAGTCTCGAGGCTACTATGATCAACCAAAATTTATCGCAGCAGGTGCTTAAGAGCGGCAACGGAGCCTTCTACAAGAAGCTTGACTTTGCTAACCCGTTTGCTAGCGACGACGCAACGCCTGCTAGCGGTGCGTACCGCTACAGGAAGTATGATTTGGGTGGTGGCCTGAATCTAGTGGCCCGTTGCGAGGTGCAGGCCGTGGCTCTCAAGAAGGGCATAAAGCAGTACGTAACCACGTACGCATTGAATGAGTACGACCCCAAGCTCCCGGGTTCTATCGAGTGGCGCAAGAAAATTGACTCTCAGGTGCGTGATGCAATTCTGGCATTGTGCCAAGCTGTGTGTGATTGCGTGTTTTGTATGTGTGAGTATCTGTATGTTGTCTGGGCATGCTCGTGTGTCGAACTTGATGATTGTTCAAATTCTATATACGCTATTCCTACACTCTTTGGTGAGGAAAATGGATGGTATGAAAGTTCATTACAGCACAAGAGTCTATTGTACTACGTATGTATGTCTGTATATGAGAGCGCCTTATGTACTCGATGATTGAAAGCAAAAAGACGAGAGTACTTGATGGTATCTCCTTATGATTGTGTGGTGGGGTGTGGGTCTCAATGAATGCCCACAACTTTATATATACGCTATTCCTACACTCTTGGTGAGGAAAGTCTTACTGTAGGAGAGACTCAACCACTACCACTCGTTGTATGTATCTGTATATTCGTAAGCCAATCTTTGCTGTGTAACGTGATGGCTTACTTGCTTTTGGTATTTGACTCTTTCTAGCGTGGAGCTGTCTTGGCAAATGAGCTGAAGAACAACTCCTGCAAGCTGGCTAAGTGGACAGCACAGGCGCTGCTGGGTGGCGTGGACGAGATGAAGCTTGGCTACGTGTCTCGTTCGAACTTCAAGGATCCGTACTCGCATGTGGTATTGGGTATGCAATCTTACAAGCCAAACACGTTTGCGACGCAGATTGCGCTTAACCAGAATAACATGTGGGGTATCATCAAGATGTTGTCAGAGCTGTTGCTAGAACAGCCGGAAGGCAAGTACGTGATCATGAAAGACCCGAACAAACCCATTATCCGACTCTTTTCGGTGCCTCTCAACACGTTTGAGGAAGAGGGGGAGAATGACGACGATGATGATGACGAATAAACATATTGTCAAGCTGCACGTTGTTGAATTGATATTGATAACAAAGAAACTACACTGTGGGCCTGCGCCATGTCGAAGCAACGGTGTGGAAGAACCCATGGATGATGATCCAAGTGACGACTATCCGTTTGTTGTATTTTGACATCTTGAATACATTGAAACACGTCTTATCCTGCAAGTATGTGGCTAACAAACATCTCTGCTACTTCATCGGACATTTCTTGGTAACAGAAGTGCAGGTGATGGGATCGTGTAAAAACAGCTGCTCTAGCCTCACATACTACCACGAGATAACTTGGTTGAGTTGTTTGCTTCTACACCCTAAAGCTGGTCTAAGGCAATAATTACTTTGATCTCTTTTCGTGATGGTAGCAAGATTGACCAACATACAAATGAACTGATATCAATAACAGTCAAGTACAAAGGTAGATTGATCGTTAATTGTCAGTTGCTCCATATAGCTATCGATAGGACTTGTGCTCAGGCATTCCACAGACATAGTAAAGACTGTATATATATATATCGTGGTAATCAACGCGACATGCTCAAAGCTACAAGAGGAACATGGAATGACTTTGCCACCAGAGAATATGAACCCACACAATTGACCACAAAGTATCGTGTCAATAAAATTACAGCAAGCAAGCTCAAGCATTTGAATGCAATACCATCGCATCGTTATCTTGTTGTCCGCAATCATTTTTATGAGTGAGTTGTAGTCAGCTTTTCGTAGTGTTAGCCTGTCGTCGTCAACGTTTAGTTTGAATGGGTATCATACCCCAATCTCAATCGAAATCAACCACTGCCACTTCCAACCACGCGAAAAAAGAGAGGCTCAGAACTGTCACCAGCTGTTGTTCAAGCATCGGAATGTCTGGTCACTGGATCCAGAGTGCTAGAAAACACCAGAAGGAGAATGGGAACCGAATAGTTCCCGGCCGGTGCCGATCCTTGAGTTTTAAGCCACAACTGCTCATTTGTGACATGCTATCAACGACATCACCACCTTTCGTCCTTCGCAAAACGGTCCGTTCCAAGTTAGGCTTCAGTATCATAATAGCTTTGATTTCGAGTCAGTAGCACGTTCGGAAGTCGGAACGCCTTTTGAACTGACATCTAGTGACGTCAGCGACCATTTGCTTTGATAATAACACGCACAGATAGAAATATTATGGCCAGCGAGGTGATGCAGCAGACATCATACCAAAGTAGTACTAGTGGTGGTGCAGCATCGGCACCGGCACCAAGCAGTTCTGTTGTTTATACACATTTTGGTCTCAAACGACAGGAACTCTGGTTAGGACTCCAGCAACGATTTGGAGCTACGCCCATTTTCAGTGGGGTATTAGGCAATCAGAAAGGCAAACACGTAAATGAGGATAGCGAGAGTAATGAGGAAGCCGAGGACGGAGATGTTGTACAGGACAAGTACTTGTCAAATGAACCTCGTTGTACAGAACGCGTTCGATGCAAGTCGGCAGCATCGGCGGACGGACGAAAGGGACGAGTTAATCTTGAGGACTCGGAACTGCTTAGTGCTGCGCAAAAGGCGGGTTGTTTTAGCTACATTAAACGAAGATATGGCATTGCACTGGCATTTGCATCCGGTGATCCGACAGACGAGATTCGGGAGCCTAGCAATAGCTCTCCACTGGAAGATTACGACGGTATAGGTTCTAACTGGGAGGCAGCTAAAGCTAAGAACGGCGTGCAGTTGTTTAAATCCAAACGTTCACGGTGCGAAGTTCGTGGAGTCACGCATGTGAATGCATCAGTCAAGAACGTCATGTCCGTTTTGGCAGCCGGTGAGACAACCGAGGCATTTGCAGAAGCACAGAAGATCATTTTGGGATCGGACCAAGTGATCGAGGCCAAGGTCTTGGCTTCCTGTGCTCAGCCGACGCACTCAAACTACTTCCACTGTGGACTCAAGTATCAGGCTATTAAGAACCCGTTTGGCACCATGCCGCTGGATCTCGTGTACTTGGACTATACGGACGTAAGTACCTCATCCGACGGCAAATTGATCGGCTACCGCATCATTGAATCCATCCGCGTGCCGGAGCTACGACCATCACCAAAGTATGTGCGCGCGTCAATCCGTTGCGAGGTATATACTGTGCAGGAGACTAGTACACCAGGTGTTGTGATTGTGACGTTTGCATCGCATCTTGATCCAAAGAGTAAATGCTCGTCTAGACGTTCTCAATGGTTGGAACAAGCTGGAGTGCGTCTTTCAAACTTGCGTGCTCATGCCGAGCAGACCAGCATTGGCAATCACTTTTTGTCGGAAAACAACAGGGAAGGGATCCGTAAACACCGCTCATTCACGACTGGAGACAAGGACAAGCAACAACAGAATTGCAATGTATGTCAGCACGCCTTTTCTTTTCTTCGCAAGCGTCACGACTGTCGTCTCTGTGGTGAAGTAAGCTGTGGTCGCTGCTGTCGAAAGATGCCTGTGTTTGTGGACGCAGAGTCTACGCGTGTCAAGGTCTGTCTCAGCTGTATCCTGCACTCAAGGAACAATCCAGATGAGATTCGACGCGGTGAACTTGGCCAACCTTCACGTCGTCGTGATATCAGCAACTCGACATTCATTATCTACGATGAGTAGTAATGACCGATATAATAAATAAGGATCGCATTTTGAGCTATTCTTCCAAGTAGTTCCATGTATTCCTACATATTGTCGGTGGTTAAAATCAGTGGTTGCAATCCTCTGCCAATCTCTCGTCCCCCGCCCTTCCTCTTCCAGCTGCTGATACTATTCGACTCAATTATGCAACGGCAAACAGTTGCAACGAGTCTCCTACGGACAACGCTCACGCAAATGGCAGGATCTCCCGATGGCAGCAATCCTATTGTTTTAAACATATTGTACAACGTATGTGCGTGCGTGCTGGCGCTGCTGCTCGGTACAGCGCTTATGAAGCAACTGTGTGACTATATAAAAAGAAAAGGCTACATTGAGATCCAGCAGGATGACCGCGGTATGTTCTCAAATGTGCTTATGGGAACATCTGACTCGTGGGAACACTTGCCTGCTACGACGGATGACGCAGCCATTTAGCTGATGTAGAGGTAGAGGCAGTACTTGGATATTATAATCTACGCAACTTTCTTTTCGTGCTGATAACAGCCTCGATGACTTAAGCGTATCGAGCACACCATCATTTTTCTAGCAGAGCAAGCACTTCATCAGCTATTTACAACAGTCATGAAAGTCAGTACGCATCACAATAACTCCTGACACGATGTGATAGACAAACCTACGTGTGCGGTTAATGACGTTTGGAACGTAGCTCCATTCGGACGTTGGATTCTGGACAAAGTCGAATGAAAGATCAAGAGACTGTGCTGAAGGTGGAACATGCGATGTGGCAGATGTATTGCGGCTGTATAGCTGTCCAACTTGATTGGATCTGGTCTGTTGATTAAGTGAAGTACGGAACGTTTTGGAATTGTTAAACAAGTGCGTTCTTCCTCCAAGTCCTGAACGAGCCCCAGGCTTAAAACTAGAAGAGTATTGAGTTGTACTAGTAGATTCGGCATGATTGTCGCTTATGGAATTATGGTCCGCTCCTTTCAGAGACGGCATGGAATTGACTGGCGTCTCGTTGACGATCTCAACTAGAAATCTGTAGCAGTAGTAGACACACGTCGACACATTCATTGTATTCGTATTGTTAGTATAATAATATCAAAACAAGATCAAGTAGTTTCACGTACTTGGGCGTCTCAATATACTCGTTATCTTTGCAATCCCAATTGACTGTGGCTAATTTGGTCTCGTCAATCACTTTTCGTGTTTTTTCATCATCTTCAACAGCATACACAACGAGTTTACGTGAAGCATAAAGCGTTATAAGTCCATCGTGCCAGATCTTGCGTTTCTGTTTCTTGTGTGTAGTGTACATACATTCGCATGTTACTTCCGATCGAGAGCCAAACAAGTCACATATCCTCGTCATGATGATGACTTGGTGCCTTTTATGCGAGATGGTAAAAACCTTTTAGTAGTTATAGTAACCGAAGAGAAAATAATATATTTGATATACAATAACTTAAATTATATAACTTATAATAAGTATAATAATTGGTAAATCTCATGTAGAAGTATTAGTTAAGGTTTACTTGCTATGTTAATACTCCAAAGTACTACAATTGAAGTACTACTTTCTTGATTATGCACGCAGCAAGACAACCATTTTCGCTGTTTTTGCATTTGAATCAAGTAAGCGACAATTGTGTGCACACAAGCTTGTGGCACGGGATAAGCAGCTACTCTACAGGCGCAGCTATAACAGCTACGTTAAATCTCTTATCGACGATACCAAGGACTAAGCAACCACAATGAAAGAGCCTAAGCGAACAGTCACACAACAATAGCAGCACACGATCAGAGAAGCCAAACCAGCAAGACAGCCATGATACAAGCTTTTTTGAGGACAGATGGATCAGAGCTCTTTTGGTGACTGTCATATGCTTAACGTCTGTGTGTCTTGGCAACTATTCAATCTCATCCAATCTCGTCAAGCAAGCAACTCGTTCTTTTTCCTTCTTTTTCGTTATCTTTCAAGACAGACCTACCACAAGAGCGTTCCTTCATCTGACGATAGTTGCCGCGCTCATACTTGCGGCCGTTTGTCAGCTTTTATAGCACGTACTCTTAACTACACAGAAACACGCGAAACAGTCGTCGCACTTATTTGGTTACAAGCACCTTCTTCAGCGACTCAACGCGCACAGGACCCGACCGGGAGCGCACCGGAAACCGGTCCAAATACATGACCTCGCACTTGTTATTGGTCTTGATGTCCTTGCACAGCGTCTCCCATACCTTGTTTTTCTTCATCTGGATGGGGGTCACCGGCTCTTGCTGCTCTTCGCCGCTCGCGTACACGCGTTCACCAACCTCAGCCTCCGGGCTTGGTTCTAGCAGCTCCACCTTTCCTTTGTCGTTGGTTACCAAGAGGATACCGCCCGTGGAGCGCGTTCGCACCACCTTGACCATCTTGAGGTTGCACAGTACGACGACCTTACGACCAAGCAACTCCTCCTCGGCAAAATATGGCTGATGCTCCATGACCATCTCAAGCTCCTCACCCTTGCCAATATCCACTTTTTCTATATAGTGGCGCTCTGAGTTTGGATGCGCCTTCACTTCAATGATCTTGCCTACCCTCAAATCTAATTGGGAAAACACAATTGGAGAGCTATACACGTCCGACTTGCCCATAATAGTGATGGAAACTTGATTGCAATGAGTTGAAAAACAAAGAGGCTATTCCAATGGAAGATAACTTGGCAAATGAGACGCAAAAACGCATATTGCAGTCTCCCAACAACATCCTCGATCCTGCTTGCTGTGGCTTCTCTCATCTATCAACTTCAAGGACGCACTGTTGGTTTTCTACCAATCGCACGGTTGGATTTATAGAATAGACTATGTGCGTAATTTAATTATTGCGCAATGGATTGTTTTTGTATGACGCACTGACGATAGCGTAATAATATTCAATTTACATAAACTTCATAACGCAAACTTCAAGTTACGGCTCTTTTATGCCAATCTTAAGCGAGACCTTCAGGTAGGTCCGTCCAATGCAAGCATGCCAATTCCTTCGAATTGTCGCTTCGAATCCGTCAGTGACTTCGTTGCAATGGAACTGATGTGCAATATCAATGCGACATTGGTGGATAAGACGCTGTGTACGACATGGTACTGGCAAAGCACGGAAGTTAAGGCCGTTCCAAGCGCCATCTCTTTCCAGAGATCTTCGAGAAGCTATGGCATGAGGTATAGCGTCGACTACTAATTACGATAATAGCGCATAACCACATTTGCTTCACACGTGCGGGCTTTAACTTGGGGCATATGTGCATATTTGGTCATTTCTGAAGCTTGTCACGTACTTGTTGCTACATTATTCGCACCACAGCTGACTGCACGTGCTGCATCTGGTGCTTCCCCGATCTCTGGTACGAGTAGCCGCTGCTTTCTCGTTGGAAACTAGTGCGTCCCATGAAGAACAACCTACATGTATTGCGATTATCTCATTGTTATCAGTTCAGTGTTGTTTGAAGTGGTATCGCATTAAGCAACATGTCGGAGCAGCACGAAACACCCTAAGCCGTTTATCATTGAGTTTGTTCTTGCAAGCTTCAAGCAGTATTAGATTTGACAGGGACTCGGCAGACTTCAACATAGTGTGCCTACCTCATTAAAAAATCAAGCGTCACTCACAACGCGCTCATATCGAATTCCAAGTGTAAAATCCAGAGATGTTTCACTCAAGTTATCGTCTACACGATGAGAGGCTGAGTGTATGGTTCTCCACTGACTTGAAGTCGCGATCAGCCAATTTGCAGCAAGACAAACGCGGCATTTTCTGCCAATCGAGTTGCACCAAAGTCTATAATATAAATCCAACCGTGCGATTGGTAGAAAACCAACAGTGCGTCCTTGAAGTTGATAGATGAGAGAAGCCACAGCAAGCAGGATCGAGGATGTTGTTGGGAGACTGCAATATGCGTTTTTGCGTCTCATTTGCCAAGTTATCTTCCATTGGAATAGCCTCTTTGTTTTTCAACTCATTGCAATCAAGTTTCCATCACTATTATGGGCAAGTCGGACGTGTATAGCTCTCCAATTGTGTTTTCCCAATTAGATTTGAGGGTAGGCAAGATCATTGAAGTGAAGGCGCATCCAAACTCAGAGCGCCACTATATAGAAAAAGTGGATATTGGCAAGGGTGAGGAGCTTGAGATGGTCATGGAGCATCAGCCATATTTTGCCGAGGAGGAGTTGCTTGGTCGTAAGGTCGTCGTACTGTGCAACCTCAAGATGGTCAAGGTGGTGCGAACGCGCTCCACGGGCGGTATCCTCTTGGTAACCAACGACAAAGGAAAGGTGGAGCTGCTAGAACCAAGCCCGGAGGCTGAGGTTGGTGAACGCGTGTACGCGAGCGGCGAAGAGCAGCAAGAGCCGGTGACCCCCATCCAGATGAAGAAAAACAAGGTATGGGAGACGCTGTGCAAGGACATCAAGACCAATAACAAGTGCGAGGTCATGTATTTGGACCGGTTTCCGGTGCGCTCCCGGTCGGGTCCTGTGCGCGTTGAGTCGCTGAAGAAGGTGCTTGTAACCAAATAAGTGCGACGACTGTTTCGCGTGTTTCTGTGTAGTTAAGAGTACGTGCTATAAAAGCTGACAAACGGCCGCAAGTATGAGCGCGGCAACTATCGTCAGATGAAGGAACGCTCTTGTGGTAGGTCTGTCTTGAAAGATAACGAAAAAGAAGGAAAAAGAACGAGTTGCTTGCTTGACGAGATTGGATGAGATTGAATAGTTGCCAAGACACACAGACGTTAAGCATATGACAGTCACCAAAAGAGCTCTGATCCATCTGTCCTCAAAAGAGCTTGTATCATGGCTGTCTTGCTGGTTTAGCTTCTCTGCTTTGTGCTGCTATTGTTGTGTGACTGCCAATATGAGGTGAGTCTACAGAACACGTTCCGTTTCATTAAATGGTTTTAGTACGTTGGAAAACAATGCGATCTGAGGTTGTCAAAGCACTTGTTTTTCGTCTTTAGCACGAATCACCAGCAAAGGTTTCGTCTTGCCCATCATCTCCGGCAAAACCACCACCGCTAGTGTCTCCACTGAAAGTATACGTATTGTCCGACACACCCACATCGCCGCTGTATTCACGGCTGTTGTTGCGACCACCGAACGCGGAGCCCAATGCGGCACCAACGCCCAGTCCTCCTAGCGCCCCCAAGGCTCCTGCTGCCATTGTATTACCACCACCATGCTCATGATACGGAGACGATCCATACGCCACAGGAGCCGACGCGTACGCATAAGGAGCTTGTGGTTCCTGTCCCGGGTACGTGCCATATTGATTCGTTGCAACGGGCTGCGCGTACACAAACTGCTCTTCTCTCTCGCGCTGTGCACGACGCGCTGGCAGATAGCAGCAGCAAACACAACATAGCAACAGCAATACAAAGAAGATGAAAGTTCCCGACACTCCACTTGACGAGGAGGAGCTTTGTGGGTAATGATGGTAGTCGTCACCACCGTAATGGGAAGGCACAACACGGCGACAGCGACACTCGTATGGACCAGCAGCACATTGCGCATTTATTGGGCAACAGCATGGTGCACCTGATGCCATTCCAATGCAAAATTGACCTGGCTGACCGTGAAAAGCGTGGTCACATTGGCCTGTTTGCTGGCACAATCCACAGCCTGAGAACGCAGCAGACAGCGTTGCATTGTCCACAAACTCTTCAAATTTCTGGTGGCTAGCACTATTTTCCACTACAGACTTTAGTAGCATAATATCATGGTCTTTACTGGTCTTTGACTCGGTCACTTGGTCTTCTGCGGCATATATCCCCAGCGCCGAGATCAGCACCAACGTGAGCCATACGAAGCATTGCATGCCTTTTGTTCTGATACTATGCAGATCTGAATCAGATGTCATTCAGAAGAGGATTCAATTGAGTGCCATAGATAGGTCCAATCACCAGCCAAAGAATCGACAGTTGGGTGGTTATTTGTGTAGAAAATGAGCCGCATGTTCGTAGGACTCGAGACGTCGTTTGTCCATGATTTAGCTGCAACGCTGGACAAGGTTTGACGTGATCATTAGTTGTAGTTCATCATCTAATACTTTATTATCTTCGTCTTATAATGCGATGAACTGCACTCGCTACAGATTAATGAAGACAAGATGAATGGCGTTGCAGCGCCGCTTTTCCATCCTCGGTACGATACATGCCATTCATTATACAAAGAAACACGTGTATTCTGTACTAATTGTATTGTTACTATTCAGTTTCAAACGTGATGACCACGAGCTCTCGGACAACCGCGACGGACCACAAACACGCTCGGATCTCGTCATAGATTCTCGTTGCTGGACGACGTCAGTAGTGGGCAATATCTCCAGGTGGATCGACATGGATGCTGCTACACTGGACGTTCGATTGAGTGCGGAGAAGGCCTTTAAGCAAGAAATATTCTGTGCCTCGCACTTCTCCGTGCCGGCTGTAATGCTGCCAACGCCGCGTCATAGCCACAACTCTTCCAACTACGCGCGCGTCCTTAATCATTCGCTTACGCAGGCACAATATCTCCAGTTTTGGGTGCGTATCCCGTTGACAGCGAGACAGCAGTCGAATGCCAAGGAACCTATGGAAGCAGCCCCTATTGAGGGTCTTAGTGCTGCTGCCATGATGGAGACAGACGAAAAAAAGGATGGTGACTTGACGGATCCATGGGAAGTATGGGACTCATTACGCGCTCGCTGCGAGTACAATCCGAAAGTGTATGTGGCGCTGGAAATCACGGCAGACCTACCTAGTAACGAGGAGATTCAGCGCTGGCTTGGTGAACCAGTTAAGGTGTGTGCTTAACGCTGAAATTTGTTTACTGCCAAAGCTCATATTATTGTGTTTTCTGGACGCAGGCAGCGATTATACGAACGGATGTTTTCCTGACAAACCGTAAGGGATACCCGGCGCTGTCTCAGCGACACCAAGCGCTTATGGCGCAGCTTTTCCAGTACAAGATCCAGTTTTACTTGAGTGGGCGGCCCCGCCATCATGGAAAGATCCTGCCGTATGTGCAATACCTGCACTATCTGTTCAGTAAACTTCCAAGTAAGGATCAAAAGTCGCAATTTGAGGCGCCTTATCTAGACTGCCTCCAGGCGCCTCTACAGCCTCTTATGGACAATTTGGAATCGCAAACGTACGAGACGTTTGAGCAGGATGCCTTCAAGTATGATCAATATGAGAAAGCTATTACCAAGGTATTAGCGCAGACCCCCAAAGACAAGGAATCCGTTGTGATAGTTGCTGGCGCCGGGCGTGGACCGCTCGTACGCTGTGCTATTCGTGCCGCCACTGGCGCAAACCGCAAGATACGTATTTACGCTGTGGAAAAAAATGCAAACGCAATCATCACTCTGCGCAACCTCAAGATTTCAGAGAAATGGGACAACGTCTCAATCGTGGCATCAGACATGCGTAACTGGCGCTCAAATGAGCGCGCTGACATTATGGTGAGCGAGCTTCTTGGATCCTTTGGTGACAACGAGCTGTCCCCAGAGTGCTTGTACGGCGCTCAAGACTTGTTGCACGGTGCGTACCTTTTCTCTTTATCCGATGCACTTTTTACAAACGCTAACTGATCTTCTTGGCATGTTATAGAGAATGGTGTCAACATTCCGCGTGAGTACAGGTCCTTCTTGACGCCTGTGATGTCTTCAAAACTTTGGAATGAGGTGAAGGGTTACGACACACTCAAGAGCTTTGAAACGCCCTACGTCGTGCGGCTACACAACTTCTACGCGTTGGCGCCCACCCAGAGCTGCTTCCAGTTCACTCATCCAAAATTCAACACACGGATTGACAACAGGAGACAAGTAGAGCTTCGCTTTACCGCCGCGGAGAGTGCTGTCGTCCACGGGCTTGCAGGCTACTTTGATGCCGTGCTATACGATGACGCTACACTAAGTATCGAGCCAGAAACGCATTCCGATGGCATGTTCAGTTGGTTCCCTCTTTACTTTCCGTTGCGCCAGCCGCTGCGTGTTCAGAAAGGCGAGGAGCTTGTCGTGCACTTTTGGAGACAAGAGTCCAACAACCGTGTCTGGTACGAGTGGTCAGTCTCTTCGGGTGACGGCAGACACCATGTCCCTATTCATAATCCTAACGGTCGATCCTACTGGATTGGGCTATAGGAATGGGCAATGGCACTGTTAAGTTTGCCATTTATTCTACCTCTAGGTAGCTTCTGCTTGGGCTGTCATAACGCTGAATACATATGGTGAAATAGGTCTGCTCACCTCTAAGGTGGTTGAGGTGCATTGAAATATTCTTCCTCCACATTGATTTCTTCGAGGTGCGCAATTTCGTCCAGCTGCCTTTTTTACCTGCAGTTGGTCATTACCCCGTGCATTTAAGTAGCCTCAGTATACGATGAAGCAAAGAAACGTATACTGTAGTCATAGTATACTATGCTGTAGCCATTGTTTAGTTAGGTGTTGGTGTCGCACCATTAAGTACGACACGCACTTAACAGTACACTAAGCTACTCTTCGCACGCGCATACCTTCAAAAATATAAACCAATGCGACGCTATCTCAAGGACAAGTGCAGCTCAAGTGTAGCCGCGATACCGAAGTCAAGCTACAAAAGCACCAAGTGCAGAGGAAACAAGCTCTTCGAGCATTACGTCCTAGGGACCTTAATGCTCGAGATTTGCAAAGTACTTAAATAAGAGTTATGCTGTCATTAATCTTTCATTATACCTTCAGCTACCTTTACTCGCCGAACTACCTGTCCACTCAATCTGTGAATCCCGCATATTGGGTAGTACAACGTATGCCATTCACGAATTCAGCGGCCGCCATACTCATCGTCGTCCCGCGCGCCTCGTGCACAATCGTACTTACGACGACACTCCATTCAAAACAGCTCCTCGGCAACAACTTTCCTTGCATTGACTGTCTTGAAAACCTTGTGCAGACCTTGTTTTCTCTCCGATTTCGTTGGCCACAGCGTTCAGTGGGTGTTTCACGCTTTGATTGGACGGTCACAACGTGCTGATACCACTCGCTTACATGCCAACAATATTCGAGGGTCTGGGCGCGAATGAGAAGAAATGCAATCAACCCGTCGTTGCCTGCCTTGTACACGTCGGGCGTGGTCAGAGATGCCTTCGTAATGATCCTTCGTATTTATCCTTGACAGCACTAAACTGCGTCTTAACAAGTACAGACTTAACAAGTGCATGATGACTTGTACCCGCAATTTGATGCTGTAAGAAATAGTATGCGATTCAGACAGCACTCTCAACTACTGACGACCGCCAAGACCAAGTCCTAAGACAAAGTCCCAAGACAAAGTCGACGGTGCTGCAGCGACGCCATGGAGACTATGTACGTTCTGCGCAATCATGACGCTGTGGACACTGAGCGATCACAGCTTGTTGATCAATACATAGCAAACAACATACAGGAGATGAACAAGTATACGAACGCATGCGACGGCAGCCAAAGGCTTCAAGAATAAAATCCGAGTGGCCGGAATCGAACCAGCGACCAATTGATTTCCGACAATACTGAAACACAGTATACAACACTACAGTCAATCGCTCTACCAACTGAGCTACACTCGGTCGACACACTACCACATCACTACCACACAAAACAGCCTGCACGCGCGTATCAACCACAAACTACGCATCCTGCGCCGCACTGTACATCAAATCACCCATGCCACACACCCTTACCATATCCTCCTTGCATTGTCAGTCTTGGAAACATTGTGCAGACCTTGTTTTCTCTCCGATTTCGTTGGCCACAGCGTTCAGTGGGTGTTTCACGCTAGATTGGACGGTCACAACGTGCTGATACCACTCGCTTACATGCCAACAATATTCGAGGGTCTGGGCGCGAATGAGAAGAAATGCAATCAACCCGTCGTTGCCTGCCTTGTACACGTCGGGCGTGGTCAGAGATGCCTTCGTAATGATCCTTCGTATTTATCCTTGACAGCACTAAACTGCGTCTTAACAAGTACATGATGCATGATGACTTGTACCCGCAATTTGATGCTGTAAGAAATAGTATGCGATTCAGACAGCACCTCTCAACTACTGACGACCGCCAAGACCAAGTCCTAAGACAAAGTCCCAAGACAAAGTCGACGGTGCTGCAGCGACGCCATGGAGACTATGTACGTTCTGCGCAATCATGACGCTGTGGACACTGAGCGATCACAGCTTGTTGATCAATACATAGCAAACAACATACAGGAGATGAACAAGTATACGAACGCATGCGACGGCAGCCAAAGGCTTCAAGAATAAAATCCGAGTGGCCGGAATCGAACCAGCGACCAATTGATTTCCGACAATACTGAAACACAGTATACAACACTACAGTCAATCGCTCTACCAACTGAGCTACACTCGGTCGACACACTACCACATCACTACCACACAAAACAGCCTGCACGCGCGTATCAACCACAAACTACGCATCCTGCGCCGCACTGTACATCAAATCACCCATGCCACACACCCTTACCATATCCTCCTTGCATTGTCAGTCTTGGAAACATTGTGCAGACCTTGTTTTCTCTCCGATTTCGTTGGCCACAGCGTTCAGTGGGTGTTTCACGCTAGATTGGACGGTCACAACGTGCTGATACCACTCGCTTACATGCCAACAATATTCGAGGGTCTGGGCGCGAATGAGAAGAAATGCAATCAACCCGTCGTTGCCTGCCTTGTACACGTCGGGCGTGGTCAGAGATGCCTTCGTAATGATCCTTCGTATTTATCCTTGACAGCACTAAACTGCGTCTTAACAAGTACAGATAACAAGTGCATGATGACTTGTACCCGCAATTTGATGCTGTAAGAAATAGTATGCGATTCAGACAGCACCTCTCAACTACTGACGACCGCCAAGACCAAGTCCTAAGACAAAGTCCCAAGACAAAGTCGACGGTGCTGCAGCGACGCCATGGAGACTATGTACGTTCTGCGCAATCATGACGCTGTGGACACTGAGCGATCACAGCTTGTTGATCAATACATAGCAAACAACATACAGGAGATGAACAAGTATACGAACGCATGCGACGGCAGCCAAAGGCTTCAAGAATAAAATCCGAGTGGCCGGAATCGAACCAGCGACCAATTGATTTCCGACAATACTGAAACACAGTATACAACACTACAGTCAATCGCTCTACCAACTGAGCTACACTCGGTCGACACACTACCACATCACTACCACACAAAACAGCCTGCACGCGCGTATCAACCACAAACTACGCATCCTGCGCCGCACTGTACATCAAATCACCCATGCCACACACCCTTACCATATCCTCCTTGCATTGTCAGTCTTGGAAACATTGTGCAGACCTTGTTTTCTCTCCGATTTCGTTGGCCACAGCGTTCAGTGGGTGTTTCACGCTAGATTGGACGGTCACAACGTGCTGATACCACTCGCTTACATGCCAACAATATTCGAGGGTCTGGGCGCGAATGAGAAGAAATGCAATCAACCCGTCGTTGCCTGCCTTGTACACGTCGGGCGTGGTCAGAGATGCCTTCGTAATGATCCTTCGTATTTATCCTTGACAGCACTAAACTGCGTCTTAACAAGTAAGTTCTTAACAAGTGCATGATGACTTGTACCCGCAATTTGATGCTGTAAGAAATAGTATGCGATTCAGACAGCACCTCTCAACTACTGACGACCGCCAAGACCAAGTCCTAAGACAAAGTCCCAAGACAAAGTCGACGGTGCTGCAGCGACGCCATGGAGACTATGTACGTTCTGCGCAATCATGACGCTGTGGACACTGAGCGATCACAGCTTGTTGATCAATACATAGCAAACAACATACAGGAGATGAACAAGTATACGAACGCATGCGACGGCAGCCAAAGGCTTCAAGAATAAAATCCGAGTGGCCGGAATCGAACCAGCGACCAATTGATTTCCGACAATACTGAAACACAGTATACAACACTACAGTCAATCGCTCTACCAACTGAGCTACACTCGGTCGACACACTACCACATCACTACCACACAAAACAGCCTGCACGCGCGTATCAACCACAAACTACGCATCCTGCGCCGCACTGTACATCAAATCACCCATGCCACACACCCTTACCATATCCTCCTTGCATTGTCAGTCTTGGAAACATTGTGCAGACCTTGTTTTCTCTCCGATTTCGTTGGCCACAGCGTTCAGTGGGTGTTTCACGCTAGATTGGACGGTCACAACGTGCTGATACCACTCGCTTACATGCCAACAATATTCGAGGGTCTGGGCGCGAATGAGAAGAAATGCAATCAACCCGTCGTTGCCTGCCTTGTACACGTCGGGCGTGGTCAGAGATGCCTTCGTAATGATCCTTCGTATTTATCCTTGACAGCACTAAACTGCGTCTTAACAAGTAGAAGTCATGATGACTTGTACCCGCAATTTGATGCTGTAAGAAATAGTATGCGATTCAGACAGCACCTCTCAACTACTGACGACCGCCAAGACCAAGTCCTAAGACAAAGTCCCAAGACAAAGTCGACGGTGCTGCAGCGACGCCATGGAGACTATGTACGTTCTGCGCAATCATGACGCTGTGGACACTGAGCGATCACAGCTTGTTGATCAATACATAGCAAACAACATACAGGAGATGAACAAGTATACGAACGCATGCGACGGCAGCCAAAGGCTTCAAGAATAAAATCCGAGTGGCCGGAATCGAACCAGCGACCAATTGATTTCCGACAATACTGAAACACAGTATACAACACTACAGTCAATCGCTCTACCAACTGAGCTACACTCGGTCGACACACTACCACATCACTACCACACAAAACAGCCTGCACGCGCGTATCAACCACAAACTACGCATCCTGCGCCGCACTGTACATCAAATCACCCATGCCACACACCCTTACCATATCCTCCTTGCATTGTCAGTCTTGGAAACATTGTGCAGACCTTGTTTTCTCTCCGATTTCGTTGGCCACAGCGTTCAGTGGGTGTTTCACGCTAGATTGGACGGTCACAACGTGCTGATACCACTCGCTTACATGCCAACAATATTCGAGGGTCTGGGCGCGAATGAGAAGAAATGCAATCAACCCGTCGTTGCCTGCCTTGTACACGTCGGGCGTGGTCAGAGATGCCTTCGTAATGATCCTTCGTATTTATCCTTG